AGACACTTGGCCAAGCTTTCGGAACAGGTGGCCGGAATCTTCCTCACCTGCTTACTGGGCAACGTCCTACGCGTGGTCCAGGCTGTGCTTTCAGAACGGCACCCCGCCTGGTAGCCAGCCGCGAGGGACAGAGAACTACAGCTCTGCGCTACCTCTCGCGGGTGGTGGCTCCTGACAGTCCCCAGGACCCTGACATGCTGACTTCGGTAGGTTTCCAATACCAAGAAAAGAGGCTTGAAAGGATTCTATTCTTCAGAGTTCAAGTGAATATGAGAGCGGTCTTGGAAGGGAGACCGCTTCGGAGGGCTCCTTGGAACCCAAATGCTATTGTGCGAATGGACTGATTCTCCTGTATTTCCCGAACTGACTCTATTCCCTCCCAACTACCGGGAGGGTTCACAACTGAAGACTTGATGGAAGAGAGCTGGGGGAGACCCAAGTGACGAGAGAACTCATGAAAGTCCCTGTTCATCCTTATTCCCCTCCTGCGCTGAAAGAGCATAAGCTCTTGGTGGCATTTTCCAGCCCTTCGTAAGGGGATCCATCCCGTGTGCTTCCATATCCCACCCCTTGCACACTGTTTTGCTTTGCTTCAGACACCATGGATACCAAGAAGCACAGTTTTTCCAAGGCTCATGTTCCATCCAGATGTTCAGTGCCTTGTGGATTTACGATCTGGAGTGCCTCATGCCACAGCCCAGAGGCCCTGGTGGTTTGCATTATAGGACTCCATATTTCAGGTTCTGGAAAAGGGGCAGAGATATAAGTGACATACTAGAATTTTGTATAAAAGGAACTTAAAGCTCGAGGGGCGCTTTGCTCTAGGCTTTCCTTTCTTCCCAGCATCTGGCCTCTCTGCACTCAACTCTTGCTCACTCCAACTTGGAGCAGCTTCTCCAGTGACAGAAACAGCAAAAATCACCAGGGGAAAGTGTTAACGTGGAGATTTCTGGGCCAGATTTAGATCTATTGCCAGCGAATCTGCATCTTAATGAGCTGGGCCCCAAGAGCCTGCATTTTAATAGGCCAGGGCTAAGTAATCTAAATTTGACCTTTTTAAAAATGAGAAGTATAATCAGAAGAATATATTCAACAGTGTGTGTAATTCAAATTGTACTGAAGCAAACATCTGTGTGTCAATACTGCCCAGATTAGGAAATAAAGCCCCAGTGGCCCTCAGAAGTCCCTAGCAGCACCTCTCCCATCACTCCTGTCCCCCTGCCCCACCCCAGTAGAGCAGTCTCCTGAGTTCACAGATACTCAGTCCCCGGCCTGTCACTAGGGACTGCTGTTCATCAGTGCATCCAGAACAGTGCACTGTTTGGCTTATCTAGAAATCAGAGAGAAGTGGAATCGTTCCTAACACGCTGTACCTTGCTTCCTTGCTGTTTGCGCGCTTCCGCTCTTGCTGCACCTAGCGGCACGGTGTCCCTCTTCAGGGCTGTATTGTATTCCGCCGTGTGAAAACCACACAACTGATCGGATCCCTCATTCGTGGGCGTCTCTTGCAGCCCAACACTGAGGTAAGTCTCCTCATCTGGCTGCTTTGTTGAGGAGGAAACAGCGGGTCAAAGATGTTGAGTGATTTAAGAGCCCGGCCGGCGTGGGGGTTCGACAGCCTGAGTTTGAAATCTACCTCTAACCTTACCTCTGAAATCTATTTAAGAGCCCTGCCGGCGGGGGGATCACTGTGTGAGCTCAGGCACGTTCATTTCTGTGCCTTGGTTTCCTCATCTGTAAAATAAGAGTAATAGGGCATTCCGTAGCACGAATGCATGTGAAGCAGTTAAAACTTTGCCCCTTCAAATACTTTCAGTTCATAAATGGGAACTGGGACTTCCATCTTACTTCATATTCTTTGTGTGGTTTAAACTCCCCATGAGCATGGGTTACTTTTGTGAACCGCTAGTGAAACACAAACCTTTGCCCCTACCGCTTTGTACCTTTAGCCTCAGTTGCTGAAGGTCCACTAACATGCAACCATGAAGTGACAACCAGGCCAGCGCTCACCACCAAGGGCGAGCTGAGTCTGGTCCTCGAGCTCTCTCCAGCAGCAACGTCTGACCTGGTTCAGCCACCCAGAGGGATTCTCCAACTTCTCACTGCCCTCTACCAAAAGGGCACAGCCAGCCACACAGGAGGCAGGAGGCCACCGACACCAGGAGGATGGGGATGGCACAGGACTCCAGTCAGGCGATCCGGGTCCTTGTTCCACCCCTGCCACTATCTGAGGGGCTAGCCCGCGTCTCTTGGAGCTGCAATGTCCTGAGCAGTAAAATGGAGGGACAGAGGGCTAGACAAACAGAGTGCCAAGATCTTCCTCAGTGAATTCCTTGACCCTTGAGGCTTTGGGCGAAAGCCGCTGAGGTGCTGGGGAAATCAGCTTGGAGGTGGTTCTCTGGCATACCTGTTTTCCTGAGAAATGCCCCAGGAGGGGGCTGGCCTGGCTACAGGGAAAGCATTCAGTGGGCCAGTGGCGAATAAGGGCCATAGTGGATCCACTGCCCCCCAAGATGAGTTCTGCTGGGAATGGTTGCACACCTATCCCATCGAGTCCATGACAATTAACTAACACTCTCAGTTGGAAGGCAATTCCTTCTAAAACACACCTTGCGGGGAGCCTCATAATGCAACTCTGGCTGCTTCGAGTTCTATAATCTAAGGTCACTCTGGCCCCAGCACCATGAAGGAGGCCGCTAACCCTCACGGCCTGTCCCTTCCTCCTTCCCTCGGCCTCATAACTTGTTGTCGCCATCTTGCTGGTGAGCTGGAAGGCTGAGGGCAAGGGGCCACAATTCACACTGGCCTGGGGCCAGTGTAGATAATACATCCCATCACCCTCAACGCCCCCTCACTTCCGCTTGGAAGGATATGTAAAGCATCTGGGAAGTCAACAGCTGCGCCTTCCACCCCAAAGAGGGAGGTGAGGTAATCCCCATACATAGTCGGACAAGTGCCTCGGGGTGAAAGGGGCTCTGTGTGGAGGAGAGTGTGTTACTGTATTTCTCTGGACTTCCAGGAGCACTTCACTGATGGCCTGGCGCTGAGGGGCGACGGCAAGTTAACCGGGTCTTCTCGTCTGCACAAAAGCATCTTTCATCCCACAGTAGACCCCATATTGGAAGGAAGATTTCACTGTACAGTGACCAGAGACAGGGAGCTCTGGTGAGGTCCCTGGCCACCCCACTGCCACCCACTTCCGAGGATTCCAACCGTACTGTGACCCTGAAGGCGCAGGAGACAGGCACATAGAGTCTAACAACGGCAATGCCAGGAGGTTTGAGGATGGAGAAGCGGGACGACACTCAGCCGGGTCTGGCGTTGGCCCTGAAAGAAGAGGCACTGTCACCTGGGCGGACGGTGCCTGTCGGTGGGGAGCAGCATCCATGAGAAAGGCGGCCCCGGTCTAGTCTTTAGCAGGGAAAGAAAGGGCAGAGCTGTCCTGACTGAGCCCGCCAAACTGTCAGGCACTCAGCAGCCGTGGGGAGAAATGAAGCTCCGAGAGGCGCGCGACGTAGTGGGGGAGCCCGGTTCCCTCCAGACGGCCCGCCCCCAGCGCAGCCCCCGGCCTCCGAGCCCTGGTGCTTACCCGCAGCGCGCTCTGGGGGACGACCACGCCCGACGACACTGCTTCTTGCCATTTAACTTCACAAAAGGCGGCAAGGGCAACGTCGAAGTCAGCGCTGTTTTTACCTCTCATCGAAGTTCAAAATGGCCGGGGCGCACGTTTGCAGCGCCATCCCTGTGGGACGGAACCAGATCCGGGGCGAGTTCCCTGGCGCGAGCACGGGATCTAAGATGGCCTTTTGTCCTTTCCTTGACTTGGAAATTCTTATTACATAAATATTACTTTTCTTTTCTTTTTTAAGATTTTATTTATTTATTTATTTGAGAGAGAGAGAGACAGCGAGCAGGAACAGAAGCAGGGGGAGGGGGAGAGGGAGAAGCAGGCCTCCCGCGGAGCAGGGAGCCCGATGCGGGGCTCGATCCCACGACCCTGGGATCATGACCTGAGCCGAAGGCAGACGCTCAACGACTGAGCCACCCAGGCGCCCCCATAAATATTACTTTTCAAAAAAATTTTACCATACAAAAAGTCTGTACAATAACCATTCTCTCTAGACATCACTGTGCTCGTTCTTCTGTATCCTTCAAGCCCTAGGTATATCTGCATATGCTCTTCTCTGCCCCAAGACTGCTTTCCCCCAGAAACGTTACATATGGGAGAGTTGCATCATGTGTTTCACTTTTGTAAAGTTAACTATTTGTGCCAGGGTGGGTCATTCCACTAACCAAGAATATGCCCAAGAAGTGTGAGCAGGGAAAGCAGGGTACGGTTTCAGTTCTCACGTGCTTTAGGTGTTTAAAGAAACACTTTTCCTCTAAGTCCTTAAATTCAAGGCAAGTACTTCATCTGGAGCTCAAATAGGGACATGGGGATCGGCTGCCATGCTGAGGGACCCTGGGTATGCTGTTACAGAAGAGCATGTGGGGCTCCAATAGGATAACTTCCTAAGGTATTTAAGAGCATTCTGGGGGTACCTGGGTGGCTCCGTCGGCTGAGCATCTGACTCCTGATTTTGGCTCAGGTCGTGATCTCAGGGTCATGAGATCGAGCCCCAGGTCGGGCCCCACACTCAGCTCAGTCTGCTTCAGATTCTCTCACCCTCTCCCTTCTGCCCCTCCCCCCACTCTCACTTTCTCTAAATAAGTAAATAAATAAATAATAATAATAATAATAAAAAGTGGACTAGATGCCACTTTGTCTTAAGCTTAACATGGGCCCCAACCCCTAATAAGATGATTCTACTGGTCATAACGCTGTTCAAATTTTTTTCCATTTAGTTGATCTTGGGAGTTGTTCTAAATCAGTATCTATAGCTCTGTCTTGCTCTTTAAGTGCTTACTGCAAGCTATTCCATAGCATAAGTTTATGGGATGTTCTCTGGAAAGAGCTCTATGTTCACATCACAAAGGAATGAAAATAAACTAAGAACAAATTTACAAACCAAGAATATAGTATTTTATTCATTTCCGGATTATGAGTATTACACAGCATATACATATATTTAGATAATATATAAAACAATGCACAAACCGTAGGAAGAAATATTGGTCTGAGGTTGCCATATGGGACATCTTTAAATCTGTTAAGTTCGTGGTTAAGTGTATCTCCCCACACACTGAGGCAGGCAGCAGGATAAATTCCAGCATTCATGTTCCAAAGGACAGCTTATTCCCACTGCACTTACAATGCAATTATGGCATTATGGCATGGTCACTGGTGTCCACAACAGGGGACACCGAGTAATAGATAAAAGAACCACAGCACAGTAAACTAATAGAAATATTTGTTTTTTGCGTTGTCCTCCAGATAGTTTCCTTTTTAAACTAAGAGCCATGTCCGGCGGCTATCCCTTGAGTTGCATTCCAGTTATTGCTGGAGAAAAAGAAACAAACAGAAGAGGTATCAGTTTAAGTTATCAGAAAATAGATGGTCAGTGCCACTAACCGCCCCCCTCCCACCTCTGGTGACACCGGAGGGGACGCTGGGCTGTACGGAAATGTGTAATGTCAGCAGCAGTCAGGCACGTAAGCGGCCGCCATTTTGTCAGAGGAGACCAATGGGCTGCTAGTAATTTGGGGCTGCTAAAGAGGATGGAAGAGGATGGAAGACATTCTCCAAGGAAGGCCTGTGAGCAGGAGGCAGGGAGGGGCAGGACCACCTTGTGGAGGTGGAGACAGCAGTAACAGAACATTTCACAGGACTAATCCTGATTCAGTGCTGATGGTGGAAGAAGACCTTAGGAAGACCTTAGGATGAAAGGTACTCCGGCCCCTAGGTCAACATGGAGATGCTCTGCAGCTGGCCTCAGCAGAGTGCACTTTCCGGCTGCCCCAACTCACCATCTGGACTCCTCTGAGGAAGCCCGGCTTACCTTTGCTTTGTTCTGAACTGGGAGATACAGTTTGAACTCTGCTGGCAGTTCATCTTCTGAGTAGAGTCTGTCTGAGAAGTAAACCCGTCGGATGCGACAGTTTGCATGGATCTGTGGGTGCAAGACTTCTTTTAAGAAACAAAATATGGGGCGCCTGGGTGGCTCAGTTGGTTAAGCGACTGCCTTAGGCTCAAGTCATGATCCTGGAGTCCCGGGATCGAGTCCCACATCGGGCTCCCTGCTCAGCAGGGAGTCTGCTTCTCCCTCTGACCCTCCTCCCTCTCATGTGCTCTCTCTCATTCTCTCTCTCGCAAATAAATAAAAAAATCTTTAAAAAAAAAAGAAACAAAATATGACTGGCCTTCCTCTTGTCCTGCTTCTCATGAAGCCCCTCCCATGATGCTGTCAAAGCTTCATCTCTTTGGCATCTCCTCAGCATGGCTTAGGGGTGGGTTCTGGCAACAGGGATATTTTGCTTGCTATGTTCTCCCACTGTATCTGAGCACACACCTGATGTGTCCTGGACCTCTCTGAGACCTCTAGACAGTGACTTGGGCACTCAGCCAGAAAGCCACACTGTTCTGTCACAAGGGCCACAAGCCAGTAACAGGCAGAGCAGACTTCCCTCTCCCGTTTGGGGCTCCATCAGAAAAGGAGCCAGCCAGTACCTGCACTCTTAGGGTCTCGATGTAATTTGTGCCATATGCCCGCCTAGTGAAGTCTGACAGATTGAACTGAATCTGGTTCCAGCCATCATCCAGCCTCATGGGCATGGTACAGATGAAGGGTTTGACTCGGGTGGTGCTCTGGTAGTTACTCGCCCGAAACCGCCGACGCACATTCTTGTCATCTAGTACCTATGAAACACAGAAAAAGAGCCACATTAACTCTACCTTGGAAGAAGCAAACAACCTTGGTGAGGCAAGGGCCTGAGCACCCACAGCCCGGTTTCCCAAGGCTGAGTGAGGCTTTCTCTAAATAAGTAAATAAATAAATAATAATA